CAGTGAGTGGGGCGGCGCCGGTGTAGGGTTCCGACCACTACGCTTTCCACATAGGCCCTCAACCTTAAGCCCCAAAACCTCCGGACCCGGCAACCAAGTCAATGAAGATTGTGAGCCGTCGATAACCATCACCATAGTCATGTCCACAGCAAAGCACAATTTCAGGTACAAGAGCAGTAAGAGCAAGACCATGAGCAGTGGCACCCAGCCATCATACCAGCAACAAATCACGAACCCTGAGCCCCTAAACCCTAAACCCTGAACCCTGAACCCTAAACCCTAAACCCCTAAAAGCCTCCACCCGGGCTCAGCAGGCGCTTCTGATGCTCTGGGTGTTTGGCGCTCCTGGCCCTGGATGTTGTGCATGATGATGGGGCTGCTGCCTCAGATCTCTTAATAGGGTTTAGGGTTTAGGGTTTAGGGCTTAGGGTTTAGGGTTTAGGGCTTAGGGTTTAGGGTTTAGGGTTTCGGGTTTAGGGTTTCGGGTTTCGGTTTCGGGTTTAGGGGTTTATATAGGGTGTACGGCTTACGGAACCCAAATTCCAAACCCGCCCAAAACCTGTGAACGCCTAAGCCAATAGTCGAGCAACCATACGTCAGTCCTCCGGGTTTTGAGTATCGAGATTTCGAGGCTTAGCCATTCTCACAGTTCCCCTGCTATGCGCACTACTCGCACGGATATCCCCGCTAACATCCCGGAACAAGCTCACAAACAAAAAATGAATCTTCATGAAAGAGGGTAAGGACGGTATGGAGGGTTTGGGCTTTCCCGAAGCGCGCCAGGGGGTCGTCCGCAAGCGCATTGGCACTTGTGTGAAGCCGCTTGATTTCATGCCCTCAGTGGAGCTAGCCTAAACCCTGAACCCTGAACCCTAACCCTAAAGGCCTCCCAAGCATCTGTCACAAGCTGGCTGCGACATGTGGCAGGCTGTCTTATGCGACCTGCACTGTGGTTGCTCATCCAATCGCAGATAACGTCCGTGTGACCAGTGCATACGAATGGCCAGGGCATCCATGCCCGCACGATGATCATGTCCGTGTGACCAGTGCATGCGAAGGGACCGAGCAGCCATGCCAGTGCGATGATAACGTCCGCGTGATGCCCGCACGACGTCCGTTGACCAGTGCGTGCGAATGGCCACGGCATCCATATCCTGTGCCTGCAGCCCCGCGGAAGGGGCTGCAGCGTACTCTTTGTCAGGCTCTTTCATAGCACTTCGGGCTGGAAGACGCTCGCGGACGACTGTGTGGCCATGCTTGAGGAGTACATTGCGAAGATCGTGACCACGAGTACCTCCTCTGGCAAATCCACGCAGTACGTGCGGCCGTCTCCGTGCAGTCTGCTGAGTAGGTTTTGCGCACGCATTTCTCTCCTGCAAGAAAGACTACATTCCTACATATGTTCGGGAACCCTTAACCCTAAGCTTCCAAGCCCCTCCACCCCTAAACCCAATGTATTTTTACGCCCGCCACCCCGCCCGACGCGTTCTACACTAACATGCTGCTTTTACAAAAACAGCATGCCAACCAACGACGAAATATACGGTATTTACGAGGCTTTTTCCGTTGTCGCATGCCCCGCCCAAATAAATGCGCGGCAAGACGCGCGGTCTGAGCGGGGTTTAGGGTTTAGGGTTTAGGGTTTAGGGTTTAGGGTTTAGGGTTTAGGGTTTAGGGTTTAGGGCGAGTCTTGCGACGCGTAAGCTGCAAGGCTGCGTTTACACGGACGGACGGATGTGTCGGTCCACCCCGCCGGTCTAGAAAAGAAGAAGCCCTACACCTAAGCCTAAACCCCAAGCCCAAAACGCTTCCCCCCCCCCCCCACAAAAAAAAACAAGAACAAAAGGATAAAGAAAGCATTGCTGAATGTAAAACGCAACCCAGCCACCTTTTAAAACAAGAGGATGAACCTGCAGAAAGCCTCAACGCCATCCTGCCCGACAGTTCTGAGTTCGGAGCAGCCCTGCGTGCGAAAGAAGGGCATCAGCCTGCACCGAGGGAACTGAAGAACCCCCCAAAATCCTTCCAAAACTCAACAAAAGCCCTCAGCCCTCAACCCTCAACCCTAAGCTCTGAGCCTAAAGCCCTAAGCCCTAAACCCCTAAGCCCGAAACCCCTAAGCCCTGAAGACCCTCAAATGGATCCCTTTTCATTTCATAGGTCTGCGGCAACGGCTTTTAGCTTTTTTTGCCGTGTGTCCAGCTAAACCCTAAACTCCCTAAACCCTACGCTCCCAAAACCCTAAACCCTAAACTCCCTAAACCCTAAACTCCCTAAACCCTAAACTCTCTAAACCTCTTAGTGTTGAAGGTCGAGGGCAATTCCAGGCTGCCTTTTGTTTACTCTGAGCCTTCACCGGAGCAGGCCTGGAAGATTCCCATCCAGAGCCGGGTGTTCAGAACCCAGGCAGCGTGGAGATTGGTTTTGGGTTTAGGGCTTGGGGTTTAGGGTTTAGGGTTTAGGGTTTAGGGTTTAGGGTTTAGGGCTTAGGGCTTAGGGCTTAGGGCTCAGGGTTGTGCCATCCAGCAACGCTGGGTAGGGAAGCAAGGGAGCTTCTCTTCAGCTGACGAGTCTCTCCTGCAGCCCTTGGCCTGTCCTGTACATGGCACACCCCGTCCGGAAGTACATGGCGATGGCGAGCATGAGGAAGCCTAGTTCATGGTTGGAATATTATCTTTAAATTTAAGCTGTTATTCCTTATTGGGTGTAAGTACCCCTTAAAAAATGTAAAACGTTACCCAACTATGACAAAGAAGCCCCCTAGTCCACCCAGCTTGCTGCGCCCATCGCCATCGTAGATCTCCCTGCTGGAGCCCAGCGCGCGGTCGTAGAAGATGTGGCAGGAATAGCCTTCTACTACTAGATGCCTTAAGAGCCCCAAAAGTAAAAAGAATAGTCCCTATATTACCCTTAAGAACCCCCCAAAGAATTGTAAAGAATAGTCCCTATATTGCCCTTAATCAGGAAGAATATTTTTGGGGGGGTTCTTAAGCAATTCGTCGCCTTCATGCATCTCCACCTCGGAGCTGGGAAACAGGTTGCCCGTCCAGACCCCCACCACCCCGCCGAGGAGGAGCCAACCGTGGTAGCGGTAGCGCTCGAGCAGGGGGGTTCTGCAGGCCTTGCGGTTTAGGGTTTGGGGTTTGGGGTTTAGGGTTTAGGGTTTAGGGTTTAGGGTTTAGGGTTTAGGGTTTAGGGTTTAGGGTTTAGGGTTTAGGGTTTAGGGTTTAGGGTTTAGGGTTTAGGGTTTAGGGTTTAGGGTTTAGGGTTTAGGGTCTGCACGCCTTGCAGTAGCCCCTGTCCACCACTAGACAGAAAGGAGGGCCGCCAACCGTGCGCTCATAGCCCACATGCTCCTCGCCCAGCACCCGGGCCCCCCGAGGCCGGTAGAAGCCGACCATGGGCAGCCAGGAGCCAATCTGCGCGTCGGACTCGCCCACGACGCCTCGGAAGGCGCGGCAGTTCTTGCAGTGGCACTTCATGGTGACCACCGGCGCCTCGGTGATTTTGACCTGGACCTTCCCGCACTTGCAGGACCCGAGCTTGTCGACCGGCGCCGTAGAGAACAGGCAGCCCATGATCTTCGGGGGATATGGTATGGCGAGTCTTTGGGGGCGAAAACACAAGCACACCGGGAGCCCTGATTTTGGATACGGGGGGTAGCAGCTGGTCTGTGGATGGCGGTCTACGCTGAAAGCCAACTCCCCAAATATGCAGATGCTCCGCATCGACTGGGCTCGGGCCGCGTGTGCTTCAGAGGCCGAGGGGGGGCCCAAGATCCTTGAAGGCAGCATCCAAGATGCCACCACTAAGGGTTTAGGGTTAGGGCTTGGGGCTTAGGGGTCAGGGCTGGGAGCTTAAGTATATAAGGGCGTCTCATAAAGATGCCCCTCTCTGGTGCGAAACAGCCTGAGCCCCGGCTTCTGAGGGGATTTCTAAAGCGACCCGAATTCCCAACTAGGTTAGGGTTTTGGGCGGGTTTAGGGTTTAGGGTTGAGGGTTTTAGGGTTTAGGGTTTAGGGTTTAGGGTTTAGGGTTTAGGGTTTAGGGTTTAGGGTTTAGGGTTTAGGGTTTAGGGTTTAGGGTTTAGGGTTAGGGTCTAGGGTTTAGGGTTTAGGGTTTAGGGTTTAGGGTTTAGGGTTTAGGGTTTAGGGTTTAGGGTTTAGGGTTTAGGGTTTTCAATCCTTCAATCACAGCACAAGAACGAGAAAGGGCTGAGGGATTTGGGGTTAGGGTGTACAATCTTGCCTAAACCCGGCACGTGCAAGGTTTCACGCTTGCCTCTGCTGCACGTCCCGCTCACGGTGTTCCAGCTGGCTGGAATAAAACACCTCGGGGCTTTGCGCTTCTGGGATTTCAGGGTTTGCCGCTCTGTCGCGTGTAGGAGTTCTGGGCTCTTCCATTCAGGGCCTTTGGGGTTTACGGGTTAGGCGGCTTAGGGTTTAAGGTTTAGGGTTTATCAGGGATGTAGCTTTATCTCTTTTGGGAGTTTCTTGTCGACTCTTCAGGGCCCTACCAGGGTTCAGGGTCTTTAGGGTTTCGGGTTTAGGGTTTCGGGTTTAGGGTTTAGGGTTTAGGGTTTAGGGTTTAGGGTTTAGGGTTTAGGGTTTAGGGTTTAGGGTTTAGGGTTCATGCTTCAATGCGACAAGAAGGGCCCATATTCCATCAGGGTGTCAGGGGGACGTATCTCAGAGGATGGCGGCACCAGTTTTCAGCCGCATGGCCACCAACTAAAGCGGCGGTGACAGCTTCTTTGGGCTTGTCACTTCACGTGAAAGGTCCAGTGCAAGTCCCTACATCTCGGGGCCCAAACCATAAACCACGGCTTACGCCATGGCCTGCAAGTCTACACAACTGACACGAGATCAAGACCTGGCCTGCAACAGACAACACAAGAAAATCAAGACGGCGCCTGGGCTCCCGGTAGAACATCTCTACTCAGCCGGTTTTGTCTAAGAAAGCAAGTGCTGGTGAAATTCGCGTGCGTGGATTGACCAAGGTCAGGGATTCCAGCACTTGTCGTTGCAGCCTCAGCAGGTGCAGTAGCTTCAGACCAGGCTTCCCAAAAAGGCGGGACCTTGAACCTAAATAGCATGTACGCAGCAATGTTTTGCGGCGCACGAGGTTCCGGGGAGGGGATTGGGCACTCCCCTAAAACCTGGTACCTCCCTGGGCCCACCCAAAGTCTTCCTGGAGCCCCTTTCAGTCAAGCCCTCTACCCGAACGCTTGAGTCCAACGGAGTAGAAGCCCAAAGCAAAAGTGAAGAAACGAGCTTGAAACCCCCTCAAACCTCAACCCTAAACCCTGAACCTAATCCCTAAACCCTCAACCCTAAACCCCTAAACCCCTAAAACCCCTAAAACCCTAAACCCCTAAACCCTTAAACCCTATTCCAAGCCATGGTGCCTGCTAGGATGCAGGTCTCGCAGCTCGGAGCATGTGTGCTCGCGGCACAAGGGGAGACGCACTGCAACAGCACCTTTCCGGCCGCAGGGTTCAGGGCAAGGTGGGGCTGGAATCGCACCTCTCAGAGCTTAGGGTTTGGGGTTTAGGGTTTAGGGCTTAGGGTTTCGGGTTTCGGGTTTCGGGCTGACCCTCCGGGCCACCCCTGACAACCAGAAGAATGAGGGTGGCTATTGGGGGGGGGATTTCCCTACTGAATCCTGAAGCCGTTAACCATTCAAACCAAGAAACCCTTAAGCCCTCAATTTTAAACCTTAACCCTTAAACCTTAAACCCTCAACCCTGGGAGCCTCAAACTCTTAAACCTTCAAGCCCACCCCACCCCAAACCCCAAGGCCTGTCACAAACCCCCTTGAACCCCGACTGCTCTTTGCACTGGCCAGGGCGCGCAGTGGACCAAATCGGACAAGCAATAGTTGCCTGACTTTGGGCGGTGAAGCTTTTTTTGTGCTGAGGGTTTCGGGTTTAAGGTTCAGGGTTTAGGGTCCAAGCCTCAAAACAGGGGGTGTGGCCCCTGCCCCATCAAAGGCTTCAACCGAGGTTTCGAGTTGTTGAGGGTTTAGGGTTTCGGGTTTAGGGTTGAGGGGTTAGGGTTTAGGGGTTTAGGGTTTCGGGTTTAGGGCTTAGGGTTTAGGGTTTAAGCTCAATGGTTGGCATTTTTTGTGTCGTAGCTTTAGCTACCCGGGTGGCCGTCCATGCCGCCGATCCGGTTGGGAAGCCAACATCCGGGTCCAAACGCGGCTTCCGAAGGGCATCATTTCTTTAGGTCCATTTCGTGCTTCACGTTTTTCAGGCTAGACCCCACCTAAGTTGGGCTCTTGGACGCACGTTTTGGGCACCACGCTTTGGGGGCATTGGGGGGGAGTCCGGGGGAGGGTGGGGGGTCAGGGCGGCGGCAGGGCCTCGTTATTATAACTTATAACGCAGCCTGGGCCGCATGGCCATCGCATGGCGCGACCTGCGCACACGCAAAAAGCACGCGCAAAAGCACGCACGCACGCGCACGCGCGCGGGCAGAAAAATAATCCTTGTCGGTTGTTGTTGCTCTTCTTATTCTTCCTCTTCTTCTTCCACTTATTCTTCTCCTTCTTCTTCCTCTTCCTCTTCTTCTTCTTCCTCTTCTTATTCTTCTTATTATGATTCTTCTTCCTCCTCTTCTTCTTCCTCCTCTTCTTCCTCTTCTTCTTCTTCTTCTTCTTCTTCTTCTTCTTCTTCCTCTTCATCGTCTTCTTTTCCTGGTCCCACCCCCCACCCCCCCTGGCGCAGCCCCCCTCGAAGACGCCGCTGCGCCCTGGCCCTAGCCCTGCTCGTCACGGGGCGTGCCCAGCTGTGGGCGACAGCCCCCTTAGATTTAGGGTTGTGGGTTTAGGGTTGAGAGTTTAGGGTCTAGGGTCAGGGTTTAGGGCCGGGTTTAGGGTTTGAAGTGTAAGGCTTTGGGGGCTTTAGAGTTCCTAACCCTAAAGCTATACTAACCCCCCTTGAAGCCCCCAAAACCCCCGAAGCCCAAACGCCTATCTCTGAAACCGAGAGATCCGAACTAAACCCTAAACCCTAAACCCTAAACCCTAAACCCTAAACTCTGAACACCAAAACCCTAAGAATAAAGGGTCCTACATCGAGTCCCAGGGGCAACTAGCCCCCTCGCCGTGGAACTGCGCGCACCTGAGCAAACGCCCGGACGTGGGACGTAGGGCTTTGGGATTGGATTTAAGGTACACCCTCAACCCTAAACCCTAGACCCTGCTTAGGGCTCAGTGATGGATGGTTTCGGGTTTGGGGCTTTGGGGGGTCTGACGTATAGCAGAGTTTTTGGCTTACGAGTGGCCTGAACCCTAAACCCTAAACCCGAAACCCTAAACCCCAAACCCTAAACCCTACAGTGGCTTTCGGATGGATGGCCCCTTGAGGCCAAAGCTCCTGGGCCGGAAACCCCTTTCTCCTAAGCCCTGGCAAACCCTAAACCCTAAACCCTAAACCCCATTTTAAGCTGCCGGATAGAACACAGCCCTCAACCCCAAAAAACCCTGAAAAACCCTCAAACAAACCGCAAAACCTGAACCTAGAAACTCCGAAAGACCGCCAAACGCCTCTCGTTCTAGATCTCAGGGTTTTGGGCGCAAGGCTTTAAGGGCTGGCGCTCGGGTTTAGGGTTTAGGGTGTAGGGTTTAGGGTTTGGGGTTTGGGTTTGGGGTTTGGGGTTTGGGGTTTGGGGTTTGGGGTTTGGTGTTTGGTGTTTGGGGTTTGGGGTTTGGGGTTTGGGGTTTGGGGCTTGGGGTCTGGGGTTTAGGGTCCCATTAACGAATAACCCTACACCCGCAACCCTAAACACGAACAAGAAAACCCTAGAACCCCTAACCCTAAACCCCTAACCCTAAACCCTAAACCCAAACCCCTGAGTCCAAGAAGAGGCGCTTGCTCGCGCACGGGCGCCACTCGTGAGAGCTTGTTGCGTAGCATTCAAGCCCGCAATCCCACCTCGCAAGCTTCTTGGGATTCAGGGTCCCTAAACCCTAAACCCTAAACCCTAAACCCTAAACCCTGAACCCTGAACCCCAAACCCAGCCAGGGCAAACATAACATGTGCCAAGGGCCCACCTGGTATAGCGTCCTCTCAACGGTACCCCTATTTTCGTAAACCCTTACGGGGGAATTGATCCAAGTTGTGGTCCTTCGGTCCCGTACTTTAGGCTTCATGCCTTCGAGTAAGTCTGGGGGTAGTTACATGGTCCCTGAAGTCCCTTACCTCCTTTAAAGGGTTCTGATGTATGAGCGCTGGGGTTGTATAGGGTATATAAGGGGTATACAGGGGGTCCCCGGTTGCGGGCCTGCATTAAGGGACCATGCAACTTCCCTAACCCTAAACCCCCCCACCCCTCCAGGAAGCCGCAACTGCACCCAAAGGGCCCTAAAGAGGGTTTGGGGTTTAGGGGTTTAGGGGTTTAGGGTTTAGGGTTTAGGGTTTAGGGTTTAGGGTTTAGGGTTTAGGGTTTAGGGTTTAGGGTTTAGGGTTAGGGTTTAGGGTTTAGGGTTTAAGGTTTGGGGTTTCCCGAAGCCCTAGACCCCACTGGGAGGCAGAGGAGCCTCGCCTGTGACTCCAGGTCGAGAGCACGAGAAAGCATCTTTGCACGTCCCCGAAGAACCGCATACGAATCACAGGGTTTTTAAGGGTTTAGGGTTTAGGGCCAGGGTTCAGGGTTTAGGGTTTAGGGTTTAGGCTTTAGGGTTTAGGCTTTAGGGTTGGGGGGTTCAAGCATGTATACCCCAACACTCCCCACTACTCCCTAAGGCTCCCTAAGCTTCCCTAAGGTTCCCCAGGCACCTACCACCCATGAAACCCCCTCCCTTCAGAAGCCTGAAAACCACCCTGAAGCCCAAATCTTAACCACGAAAAACCTTGAAACTTGAGCCTTAAACCCTAAACCCAAAATCCCAAACCCTGAACCAGAAACCTGAAACCACCTAAATCAGCAACCGCCGAGTCACAAGGCGTGACGGGAGACCCAGCCTCGAATGCGTTTCTGGTGGCTTTCGGGTTTAGGGTTTAAGGGTTTAAGGGTTTAGGGTTTAGGGTTTCGGGATTGGGGGGCGGGGGGAGGGGGGATATGCCTTAGGGTCTAAGGCTTAGTAGGGTTTGAGGATTCTAGGTTTTTGGGTTTCAAGGTTAAGGGTCTGACGATGTAAGGGTTTAAGTGCTGAAGGGTCCGACCCGACTGGCTCTACTAATACTCCCTGACACTCCCAAAGCTTCCCTCAGGCTTTTTAGGTACCTGCCCCCCTTTGACACCCCCCATAAGGACCCTATAAGTCCACCGGAGAGCCTACTCTTCAAGCCCTGGCCCCATGTTTGGCGCCGATGGCACGCTTGCGAACCTAAACCTGCTTGGAGGTTCATGGCACTTATTAACCAATGATAACTGCACTTATAACCCACTTCTGAGCCCGTACAGTTATAAGTACAGTTATCATGAGTTAAAAAAGTACCATGAACCTCCAAGTAAGGGCTGGAGCATGCTTGTACAACGCCGCCATGGTGGTTGGTGACGGTGGGGGACTTTTATCTTTCATGTAAACCTGCAGCGTTAAATCCCCCTTTCCTTTTAGGTAAGTTTTCTTTTTTAAATTTCATTTAGGTAAAAGTACTAAAAAAAAACACATCTGAAATTGAAAGAGGAGAAACTGAAATTTACGCATTCAGAAAAATGTTTTATCAAATTGAAAAATGGTTCTGTCAGTTGTCTCTACACCCTCAGCCCTTCAACCCTAGAAACAACTCCTCCCTCTGAAGGCTTAGGGCTCAGGGGTCTTGGGGTTCAGGGTTTAGGGTTCAGGCATCTCATCCCCGAAACCCCTAAGCCGCACGCAGCCTGTAAGCCCCCGAAAACCATCCCTGCGGCCCCGCTCTGTCGGTCCGGGAACACGTTTTCTTCGCCTCATACTCGTCCGTCACCTCCCAGGGGTCTCTGCTGACGGTGCTCTAGGACTCTAGGGCCCTTGGGGCCCCTCTTAGGGCGCGGCGGATTGAGGTTTAGGGTCGAGGGATTCGGGTCTAGGGTTTAGGGTCGAGGGTTTTGTGTGCAGGGTTCAGGGTTCAGGGTTCAGGGTTTAGGGTTTAGGGTTTAGGGTTTAGGGTTTTGGGTTTTGGGTTTTGGGTTTAGGGCGATTGAGGTGGGCACACGGCTCTTCAAGGCTCTCGGGTCACACGCATATGAGGTTGGGCTGCTAAATCTGGTCCCCAAAACATACACTGACCCATGGTTGTAAGAAAGCGCCAGGGATACGCTCAACATTCACACTGGTAAACAACCTGGCTCATAAGACCCTGAACCCGAGACTCTAAACCCTAACCCACGAAACCTACTAAACCCCACCCCACAAGAACTACCTCATGTACTGAGGGCCTGAACCCAAGAGTCATGGCAGAGAACCAAAAGGCCTTGTAGGGCGTCAATTAAGGAGTCTAGGAGTTTAGGGTTTAGGAAAACCCAAGCCCTAAACCCTTAACCCTAAATCCTAAACCCCAATCCCTAAACCCTAAACCCCAAATCCTAAACCCTAAACCCTAAACCGCCGGGCTTCGCAGGTTGCCCTGGCCCGCCTTGATCTTGGCCAGCAAGGCGCGTAGGTTGCCCTGGATGCGAAAGGGGAGTCGGAGACCCCCGACTTGGGGGTTTAAGGCTTAAGGTTCAGGGTTTAGGGTTTAGGGTTTAGGGTTTAGGGTTTAGGGTTTAGGGTTTAGGGTTTAGGGTTTAGGGTTTAGGGTTTAGGGTTTAGGGTTTAGGGTTTAGGGTTTAGGGTTTTAGGCTTAGGGTTTGGCGGAAAATAAGGGACCCACTGGGGTTGGGGTTTATAGGGTTTGCGGCTTAAGGGTTCTTAGATCCTTTTGGGGTTCAGGGTTTGGACTTAGGGAGTCTAGGGTTGGGGTGTAGGGCTTCTAGGGTCAGGGTTTGTAGGGCTTAGGGCTTTGAGGGTTTTTAGGGTTCGGGGCTTAGGATCTGACACCCTCAACCAGCCACTTTAAAGCCCCAAAAGCCTCCAGCCCCAAAACCCAAGCCCATGAAGCCCCCAACACCCCGAATTAAACACCCCACCCGAACACCCTAAACCCCCCCCAACCTCCCTCCCCCCCCCCTGCTTGGCCGAAACCCTAAACCCTAAACCCCAAACCCCTAAAGGTGTAGTAGGCCCCGGACCGTCTTGCTCACTGCTTCTTGTGCGGCGTTCACGAGGGCGGTGCCGTTGATGGCCTTATGGGGTTGAACTTGTTAGGGTTTAGGGCTTAGGGTTTAGGGTTTAGGGTTTAGGGTTTAGGGTTTAGGGTTTAGGGCTTAGGGTTTAGGGTTTAGGGCTAAGGGGTTAGGGCTTAAAGAGTTTGGGTAGTGCCGGCGGAGGGGTTGTGGGGTAGTGTCTTAGGGCCACGAGGATCGGTTTCGTGTGCTGGCTTGGGCATGAAGACAGGGTTTCGGGCTTTCGGGCCTCCGCGTCGCATGCGTGCGCTAGGTAAGTTTTGGGGTGCAGGTTCAGGCTGCAAGGTTCAGGGCTCAGGGTTAAACCCTGAACCTTAACCCTAAACCCTAAACCCAAACCCCTAAATCCCTAATCCCTAAACCCTAAACCCGAAACCCCCAAACCAGGGTTCAGGGTTGAAGGTTCAGGGAGGAGGGTTCAGGGACTGCCCAGGAGCTTTCTTGCTTTTAGGCTGCGGGGCTCGACCCCTCAACTCCCAAACTCAGGGAAGTGACATGGTCCCTTAGTATGGGCCCTTAAACGGGGATATATACCCCTCTTATACCCCTAAAACCCTATAGAACCTAAGGGCCCTATACAACCCAAGGGCTTGGTTCAGAGCCCTTTGAAGAAGGTAAGGGACCATATTCAGGGACCATGTAACAGCCCTAAACCCTAAATCCTAAACTACCCTCAGATTCAAACCTCCAAACGCCAAAACCCTAAGCAAGGCGCCCCCCGCCCATGGCCTGCCAAACCAGGGTTTAAGGTTTAGGGTTCAGGGGTTTAGCGTTTAGGGCTTCCGGGGTTGGCTAGGGTTTTTCGGCTTGGGGCTTCGGGATCAACATGTGGCCCCAAACTCCAAGCCCTAAACCCTAAACCCAAACCCTAAACCCTAAACCCTAAACCCCTCATCCCTAAACCCCAAACTCCTTGCTGCAAGTCCCTTTCGGCGGCCAAGTGGCGGATGCAGGCTCGAGGCACTGCAGGAAGATCACCATGAAGATGGCTCCTTAGCTGCGCTCGGAACCCCCTTTCTTTTAAAGAATAGGGTTTAGGGTTTAGGGTTTAGGGTTTAGGGTTGAGGGTTGAGGGTTGAGGGTTGAGGGTTGAGGGTTGAGGGTTGAGGGTTGAGGGTTGAGGGTTGAGGGTTGAGGGTTGAGGGTTGAGGGTTTCGGGTTTAGGGTTGAGGGTTGAGGGTTGAAGGGTTGAGGGTTGAGGGTTGAGGGTTTTGGGTTTAATTTAAGGTTTATAGTGTTTAGGGTTTATAAGGTTTAGGGATACACATGTATGACTTTTCTGCCGTTTGGATGTGCTACATGAGCCGCTAAAAACTGCCCATGCCATCCCCGTGTAATCCCGGCCGGCATAGCTGTAGTACAACTTACCCAAAACACCCGTTGTCATCTGGGAGGCCCCGATACTAGACCCTGAAACTACCCAAAACCCCCATTCTAATCTAGGAGCCGTACATGAGACCATAAGATCCCCAAAAACGAAAGAAGGCAAAATGGTTCAAGAACAGCCCGAGGCACGAGGACCCCACATTCTGACGGCCAGCTACTTTCGTTTCGAAGGGCAAATTACTCTGATGTCAACTGGCCAAAGCTGCAGCGAAGCGCAGGGAGCGCACAAGCCGCGCGTATGAGGTGTTTTGGGTTTTGGGTTTTGGGTTCAGGGTTGAGGGTTCAGGGTTTAGGGTTTAGGGTTTGGGGTTTAGGGTTGAGCACCCCCAAAAAGACGAGCCAGGATTCCTACACACATGGAGGTCGATCTAACCTATGGGCCCTTTTTGTGGGGGGGGGAAACGGTTGAGGGTTTTTGTCCAAGTACATAGGATGGGATACCACCAGCAAGGGACATGACTTTAGACCAAGCCTCAAGAAGCCAGCTCTCGAACCCTCAGCCCTAAACCCTAAAACCTACACCCCAAACCCCTAAACCCCTCTTCCCTTCGTCCCGAAATGATGCAGCAAAGCCTTGAGCTTCAGGGTCTAGGGTTTAGGGTTTTGGGTGTTGGGTTTGGGGATTTGGGTTTTGAGTGTTGAGTTTTGGGTGTAGGTTTACAGTGTTGGAAGTCCCCCCTCCATCAGCGCAACCTAAAACCCTAAAGCCCTAAACCCTAAAACCCCAAACCCTAAACCCCCAAACCCCTAACCCCTCCCAGCCTGAGAGTAAAGGTCCATGATGGCCGGATGGGAGCGAAAGGACTCGGTCAGGAAGAAGAGGCCTTCACAGGTGCCGGGCCTTTGGTTCTATCTCCCTCTCCTTTTTTTCTGTTGGGGGGGGGGGGGGGGTTTAGGGTTTAGGATAGGATTTATAGGGTTTAGGTCCCTTTCCTAAAGCCTAAACTGCTGAACCCTAAAGCGCTAAACCCTAAAACGCCCCCAAAGACCCTCAGCCCCCCAAAACCCTAAACCAAAGACCCTAAACCCGAAACCCGAAACCCTAAACCCTAAACACTACATTGCCCCCAGGTCCGACACTCCTCCCCAGCTCATCTTCAAGCACCGGGACCAAGTCCTAAACCGAAAAAGTGCTGAGGCCCGATGCTAGTAGGATTTAGGGTTTAGGATTTAAGGTTTAGGGTTTAGGGTTTGGGTTTAGGGTTTGGGTTTAGGGTTTAGGGCGCGTCAGCTGTGGCTTTGGCTGCAGCAGCTTCGGCTTCTGCTGTAGTGGCTCTGGCCGCTGCACGAAGAGCCTCTTCCAACGCAGCGGCTCTTGCCTCCGCTGCACGAAGAGCATCCTCGAGGTACCTTGTGCGGAGCTCTTGCCGTGCTGGTGGTAGGAGCTGCTCTTCTGCTTCAGCATCCTCGAGGTGTCTTGTGGGGAGCCCTTGCCGTGCTGGTGGTGCTCCACTTGGTGCTCTGCTGCGTGCTGGTGCTCCGCTGCTCGGTTCCTGAGGGCTCAGGGTTTAGGGCTTAGGGCCTAGGGTTTAGGGTTTCGGTTTAGGGTTTTGGGTCTGGGGCTTAAGGAATAACAAGGATCTTGGAGCTTTAAACTCCAAACACCGTTAGAGCCTAAACTCTAAACGCCTTGAATCCTGAAACCCTGGAACCCTTAAGCCCTGAAATCCTTGAACCCTGAACCCTCATACACCCTTCAACCCCAGACCCTTAGAAACCCTTAAGCCCTCAACTCTAAACCCTACAACCCGTCAACCCCTAAACCCGAATCCCTAACCTTAAACTCTAAACCCTAAAACCCTTAAACCCTTAACCTAAACCCTAAACCCTTCTTCAACCCTTAAACCCTAAACCTCTAAACCCTCAAACCCTTAAACCCTTGAAACCCGAACTGCCGACCGAACCCCTCCAAGTGGCGCCTCGCCCCTCGCACGCGGCGAGGGCGTCGCGGTTCAGGGGGTCCCTGCTCTTCCCTGGCGGGGGTTTAGGGTTTGGGGTTTAGGGTTTAGGGTTTAGGGTTTAAGGTGTGGGCTTAGGGTTTAGGGTTTAGGGCTTAGGGCTTAGGGCTTGGGGCTTAGGGTTTAGGGTTTAGGGTTTAGGGTTTGGGGTTTAGGGTTTAGGGTTTAGGGTTTCAAGTTTAAGGTATTTAAGGAAGTTATGGTATTTACGGGTGTTAGGGTTTGGGGTTTGCAGCATAGGGTTTTAAATTTAGGGTCCCAGGCTATTTCGGGTTCGGGGGTTGTAGTGTAGGTTTCCGGTTTGGGGGCTTACAGTTTTGGGGGTCGATGGAGCAATTCAGGAGGTTAGGGTTAGGGTTGAGGTTTTAGGGTTTAGGGTGTGGGGTTTGGGGTCTAGGGTTTTAGGGTTGAGGGCTTGCAGCTAGGGCTGCAACGACCTGAATATGAACATGAGTATCACCGTCGAGAACTCCTAAACTCCTAATCCCAAACCCCTAAACCCTAGAGCCCAAACCCTGAACCCCTAACCCCTAAACCCTAAACTCGAATCCCTCCAACAAGGCAGCCTACAAGGGGCATGCCAATCTGGAACCGCATCAACGCTGGCAACTCACTCCAGCACGACAGGCTTGAAGCCCACCCTGGGCTAAACCCGCCACACACCCCAACCCTTAAACCCTAAACCCCAAACCCTCCAACCCCCAACCCTAAACCGGGTAAACCCTAAAGCCCTTTAACCCTTAAGCCTTAAGCCCTAACCGCTACCCCCTACCCAACCCCTCCTACGCCCCTAAACCCTAAACCCTAAACCCTAAACCCTAGACCCACTCGCAGCCAGGCTCTCAGGCCTGACTGGGCTGCCCTGAAACGCTCGTTCGCCAGGCGTTCGATCATGGACTCGTCCTCTCACAATTTGGGCACATGCCGGGGTCACCCTAAACCCTAAACCCTAAACCCCAAACCCTAAACCCCAAACCCTAAACCCTAAACCCTAAACCTAGACCCAATTTCGGGTTTAGGGCCTGAGGGCAAGTGTCAGGTTTGGGGTTTAGGGTTTGGGGTTGATCCTCAACCTTACACCCCCAACAACCCGAATCCCGAAACCAAGCACTGTCCCGAAGTCCCCAAACCCCCAATCTCCCTAAACCTCCCTAAAACGCCCTAAACGCCCTAAACGCCCTAAACCTCCCTAAACCCCCTAAAACCCCCTAAACTCCCTAAACTCCCTAAACCCCCTAAACGCCCTAAACCGCCTAAACGCCCTAAACTCCCTAAACTCCCTAAACGCCCTAAACGCCCTAAACGCCCTAAACGCCCTAAACCGCCTAAACTCCCTAAACCCCCTAAACCCCCTAAACCCCCTAAACTCCCTACACTCCCTACAGCAGCCGAGTCCAGCTTTCCCAGGCGAACGGCCAGGGAGGAGAGAACCAGGGGCCCCAGCTGGAAGTGGTCGCCAAGGAGGAAGACCTGGCTCAGGGCGCTTCATGGACTTGTATGGCGTGTTTAGGGGTTTAGGGTTTGTGTGGCGTGTTTAGGGGTTTAGGGTTTAGGGTTTAGGGTTGAGGGTTTAGGGCTTAGGGCTTCGGGTTTAGGGTTTAGGGTTTAGGGGTTTTTTCAGGGCTTTTGCGGCTTTAAGGTTTTAGGGGCTGTTTAGGACCTTTAAGGGCTTTCACGGCTTTCAAGTACTTTGAAGGGTTTTCAGGGCTTTAAGGGCTTTGAAGGGCTTTAAGGGCTCGGACAGGCTTGCAGGGTAACAACTCAACATACGCCTCCAGGGTGGGTCGTCGAGTCGCTTGGTGTTTTAAGGGCTTTGCTTTCTGGAAGCTGCATCCTCCTTCCTTGCAGGCCGGCCGTTCAGAAGCCAACCCGGAACTCAATATTAAAACGTACCCTAAACCCTCAACCCTAAACCCTAAACTACCCTAAACCCTAAACCCTAAACCCTACTAAACCCTAAAGCCTGAGCCTGTTCGCGCCCAAACATGAGCCCCTTCCAACTCCAACGGCCAGGTCTTAAGGCTTGAGATTTTGTTGGGCTGAAAGGGGTTTCGGGCTCTAGGGTCTAGGGTCTAGGGTCTAGGGTCTAGGGTTTAGGGTTTAGGGTTTAGGGTTTAGGGTTTAGGGTTTAGGGTTTAGGGGTTTAGGGTTTAGGGCTTCTGGACCGAGAAGGGCACGGAAAGCCCCAGGCCTGACCCGTGTCTCGCACCAGCTGCATGGGGACCAGGGTCTCCTCGGGTTCAGGGCAACTTTCAGGGCAACTTTGGGGTGGTGGGGTTTAGGGTTTAGGGTTTAGGGTTTAGGGTTTGGGGTTTGGGGTTTGGGGTTTGGGGTTTGGGGTTTGGGGTTTGGGGTTTGGGGTTTGGGGTTTGGGGTTTAGGGTTTGGGGCTTAGGGTTTAGGGTCTAGGGTTCAGGGTTTAGGGTGGTTACGGTTTGGGGTGGGTAGGCTTGGGCTCAGGAAAACTTTGGGGTTAAAGCTTACTGTTTGGGGGTGAGGCTTTAGGTTCTAGGTCTGGGTGGTTAGTTTGGGGTTGAATGTCTTAGGGTGTAGGGTTTGGGTTGAGTGCTTCCTTGATCCTAAATCCTCAACCCTTCGTCCTAAACCCTAAACCCTCTACGTACCCTAACCCTAAACCCCAAACCCTAAACCCTACGCCCTGAAAACCGAAACCCTAAGCCCTAACACCGTTGACCCTAAGAAGCTCCAGGGCCCCCCCCCCCCCCCACGCACACCCAAACCCCAAGCCACCCACCCACGAACGCTGAACCCTGAACCGTAAACCCTAAACCCAAGTCTCTGGCTCGGTCGCCTCGCCAGCCTCATGAGGGCAGAGTTTTTGTTTAGGGCTTAGGCTGCAGGACTTCGGGAAGTATGCTGTACAAGGTTCAGGGCTTGCGGTTCAGGCTTTATTCATACAGGACCCTGGGTTTTTAGGGCTTTGAACGATTTGCGGACGTGTCTAGGTGCTTGAGGGCATATTTTAGGTGGGGGCTCAGAAACGCCAAGCCCGACAGCCTGGAAGGTTCGGGGGTGTCGGGGTTCATGGGCTTAGGGTCAGTCGAGGGTTTTTTGGTTGAAGGTTGTGGGCGTTTCGGGCTGCCAAGGGTAGTGCTGTGGGCTTGGGGGATTTAGGCGACTTTTTGGCTATCATATGACAATTACGGAGTCAGTGTTTTGTGGGGCGCGGTATTCAACAAAGGGTCTCGGCTTTGGCTGGTTTTGGGGTTTGGGCTTAAGGGCTTTGTCGGGTTCAGGGCTTCAATCAGGTTGGAAGAGGCTGAAGGGAAGCCTTGGGCTCAGACTCAGACAGGCTTGAGGGCTCAAATCAGGGGCATGTCTGAGTAGGGTTTTTCAATGGCTAGGCCCTACGCCCAACCGATCAACGGAACAAAACCCCTAAACCCAAAACTGAAAACCCCAAAACCTCAACCCTAAACCCTAAACCCTAAACCCTAAACCCTACAACGGCACCTCGTCCACCAGCACGTGGGAGAACCAGCCCGGCGCGCCCGCGCGAGCCGCCGCGTTCGCGATGTGCGCGGCGCAGGTGCAGGTGGAGATGACGACCTGGGTTTAGGGTTTAGGGTTTAGGGTTTAGGGTTTAGGGTTTAGGGTTTAGGGTTTAGGGTTTAGGGTTTAGGGTTTAGGGCTTAGGGCTTAGGGCTTAGGGTTTAGGTTTCGGTCACCCTAGACCCGAAAATCACAAGCTCAGAAACCCTAACCAAAAGAGTCAAACCTCAAACAAGAAATCAACCCTGAGCCCAAGACCCTAAACCCTAAGATGACTGGGAATTTAGTCTTAAGCTGTTCGTTCGCACCGACAGGAGAACCTTGCAGGTTCTAGGGTTTGGGGGGAAAGGCTTCCGGGAGGTTGGGGCTAAGGGCAATGAGGCTTCAGGCCCTCTCTTTTGTCTTTGAGGGGAGGGGAGGGAGGAGGGGGTTCGACTTGTACTGTTTTGACGGGGTTGGGGGTTTCGGGTTAGGGTTTACGCGTATGTCCGGGAGCACCCAACGAGGAACGGTACAATAGCATGACTTCTCACGTCCGCTCTGCAGACGTCCAGCAAGCTCCAAGCCCTTCAAACCTTAAAGCTTCAAAACCCTTGAAGCCCTGAACTCTAGACCCTAAACCCGAAACCTAGACTGTTCGGGTAGATCCATGGTCCCTAAAATATGGGCCCTTAAAAGGGGACCGCTTCCTATACTCAAGAAACCCAAGGGCCCATACTCCCATACTTCAGAACCCTTTGAACAATGCATAAGGGACCACATTGAGGGCCCATGAAAGTACCCTTAGATCGACTTCATGTCCCCGGCAGTTTAGGGTTTAGGGTTTGGGGTTTAGGGTTTAGGGTTTAAGGTTTGGGGTTTAGGGTTCAGGGTTTAGGGTTTGGGGTTTAGGGTTTAGGGTTTAGGGTTTAGGGTTTAGGGTTTAGGGTTTAGGGCCGGCAAGCTCTGGAAAGGCTTGGGGCCGCGGAGCCCGGTACGAGCGCAGCTCGTCCAGCGGGGGAACCGCGAAGCCGTGACGGCCGTCCTCCCGGGACGCCGTGAAGCAGAACTCGCGGACCTCCCAGGGATTGGGGGTTTGGAGTTTAGGGTTTAGGGCTTAGGGTTTGGGGTGTAGGGTTTAGGGTTTAGGGTTTAGGGTTTAGGGTTTAGGGTTTAGGGTTTAGGGTTTAGGGTTTAGGGTTTAGGGTTTAGGGTTTAGGGTTGGGGTTTGTCTTGGCGACATAGTGCTCAGCCAAACACCGAAGTGTATTCGGTTTTGGTTTAGGCTTTAAGGTTTAGGGTTATAGGAGGCTGAATGTTTACTAATATTTTGGATTATACTCCTGTAATTCAAATGTCACCTATATTGCGCTTAGTTGAAAACAAATGTGTATTGGCATGTCCAGCATAGCATGTCACATAGGAGGCTGAAAAGTTGCTACTACTATTGCCTTATGACCCTTGAATAACTCCAATAACGCCTATACTACCATTGTTGCTAGTAGTCGATATGAAGCTCGCGTATCCATCTGACATGGCCGCAAACCCCAAAATCTGGTGGGCACCGCCATTTCCCAATTGTGCGAACTTGCGCTGAGCACCCAAGAGAGATGAAAGCAAACACTGCCCTTCTCTGTACATCACAGCATGCCTTGCGCACCTTCGCTCTGCTAGCAACCAATCACGGGAGAAGCTGCCAGTGGGGCCGCCCTGCTCAATAGCCCTAAACCCTAAACCCTAAACCCTAAACCCTCAACCCTAAACCCTAAACCCTAAACCCTAAGCCACACTCAGGGCTTTCGGAGGACTTGCTCCATAGGCTTCCCCTGCGCGAGCTCGTCGATGAGCTTGTCCATGTACCGGATGTCGCGGACGGTCTTGTTCTCGACTTCCTCCACCCGCACCTGGGCTCCGAAAAGTCTAACTTTTAGGCTCCTTGGGTTCTACGAAAACCCATAAAGTCAAAATCCTAAGAGGGTTTAGGGTTTAGGGTGTAGGGTTTAGGGTTTAGGGTTTAGGGTTTAGGGTTTAGGGTTTAGGGCTTAGGGGTTAGGGTTTAGGGTTTAGGGTTTAGGGTTTAGGGTTTAGGGTTTAGGGTTTAGGGTTTAGGGTTTAGGGTTTAGGGTTTAGGGTTAGGGTTAGGGTTTAGGGTTTAGGGTTTAGGGTTTAGGGTTTAGGGTTTAGGGTTTAGGGTTTAGGGTTTAGGGTTTAGGGTTTAGGCCAGCCAGAAGAAAGCCAAGGGGGCACCCCGCACACGGTGCCAGTGATGAGGCGTCGGTTGGGGTTCATCTTCGTTGCCTCCTTGAAGAAGGTCTCCATGTCCGATCTTCGGGTCACATGGCAGTGGATCTTCAGCTGCGAGTACCCGGTGAGCCACTTGATGATCTGGTCGACCTCCGCCATGGCATAACCTGGGGGTTGGCCCTTCGAAACCCCTTGGACAAAATCTGTTCATCTATAGGGTCCCTTTTAGGGTCCCATTCTTAAACCCAAGTCAGGAAAATACAAAAAGGGTCCTGAGAAGCCAACCCAGCAACCCCGCTTTCCCACCTTGGCGATGTAGGCTGGGTAGACCCTTGCAAAAGGGATCTTGAGGATCTTCTTAACCTCCTTCTCCTTCTTGCTGTCATCATCACCTGCCACGGCTTTCGTCCTCTTGTTTTCCTTCTTCATCGCCTGCTTCTTGGGCTTTGCAACGGCCTTCATCGCCCGGCTCTTTGGCTTAGCCGCGGCCCTCTTTGCCCCCATGGCGATGTGCGAGTGGGCTTCTTCCGCTTAGCCGGAGCAACCCGAAACCCGAAACCCGAAACCCGAAACCCTAAATCCTAAACCCTGAACCCTGAACCCTGAACCCTTGAATGCAGCCTCTGTTGGGCTCGTTGCTGCGAGTGACGTCTCGAGCTGTGGGAGCCGGAGCATCATCACGGCATGGGTTTAAAGCTTGGGGCGAGGGTTTTTAGGGGCTTTAAGGGGTGTTCAGGGTTTAAAACGGGTTTCTAAGGGCTTTAAGAGGCTTTAAGGGTTTCAAACGCGCTTTATGGGCTTTAAGGGTTTCAAGAAGGGCTTTACGGGCTTAAGGGTTCTACATGAGGACTCGAGCCCCTAAGTGCCAGCCTGCTCAACCTCCGCTCTCTCCTCAACCTCAACTCCTAAACCTTGCACCCGCTTCTGTATCTAAACCCTGAACCCCTGAACTCCAATCCAACCTAAACCTCAGGTTTCCTCAAGTTTTGGGGTTTAGGGGTAGAGGGGTTTAGGGTTCAGGGAGCCCTGGCCCCACCCCGCGGGCTTAAAGCCCCGATTAGAGCTGCCAAGACCCCTAAAGTCTGCCCTAAACCCTAAACCCTAACCCTAAACCCTAAACCCTACACCCTACACCCTAAACCCTAAACCCTGAAGCCCTAGAGGCCCCAAAGCCCCAAAGCCCCCAAAGCCTCCTCGGGCACGGTCGCTGGGCTGCGGCCCAGTGCGTTGAGCCGCAGCATGCGGCTCGGGTCCTAGCTCGGTCTCCGGGGGCTGCAGGGTTTAGGGTTTAGGGTTTAGGGTTTAGGGTTTAGGGTTTAGGGTTTAGGGTTTAGGGTTTAGGGTTTAGGGGTTAGGGTTTCGGGTTTGGGGTTTGGGGTTTGGGGTTTAGGGTTTAGGGGTGTGGTTCAGGAAGTTCAGGGTCCTAGCTCGATCTCCGGGGCTTCCGGATTTGGGCAGTGCAGCGGTTTAGGGGTTGGGGGTTTTCAGGGGTTTTCAGGGTTCTTCAGGGGGATTTCGGAGTTGTTCAAGGGCTTCAAGGGGTTCAGTGGGTTTTCTGGGCTTCGTTCGACGAAAGGGCCGGAGAAACAGGGTGCTGTCCCCAACGGCCTAAACCCTATGAACCCCAAACTGAATGCAGATGATCCCCCATGAGACAAAGCACCAAAACCCCTCCCACCCCCCACAAGAGTAATTCTTTCGCCAACAAAGCTTTTCGGTGTTTGGGGTTGATTTGCCGGCGTTGGTGCTCCATTTTGGGGAATTCAAGGATTTCAAAGTTTAGGGGGTTTGGTGGGGACTCCCTAAACCCTAACCCTAAACCCTAAACCCTAAACCCTAAACCCTAAACCCTAAACCGGACATGGAGCCAAGCCAAGCTTGGCCAGCTTGGCACAGAGAACGTCTGCACCGGTGTTGGAGGGTGCCGTTGCCAGCACCTGCTGTGCCCCCAAAGCGGGGCATGGCTTAACTAGCATCTAGGGTTTGAGCTTTAGGCTTAGGGCCCTAAGATCCCATGCCCCAAAGGCTACCAAGGCTCTTTGCACCGAGGGGAAGAGAGGGTTGTACATCATGCATTCGGTCCTGAACCCTCAAACCTGCAAAGACTGACCTAAACTCCAGACCGTCTAGAGCCTAAACCCCCGAAACTGCAAATCAAACCCCAAACCCCAGCGTGTTCCACTAGATGCCCTAAACCCTAAACCCTAAACCCTAAACTCTAAACCCTAAACCCTAAGAACACCCAAACCTCTTGAGGCAGCGCCTGCTTGTTGGGCTGCTGGGCCAGCTGCCAGATCAGGTAGGCTGCCAGCGTGCTTTTGCCCGTCCTCTCTTCACGGCTTAAGGTTTGGGGTTTGGGGTTTAGGGTTTAGGGTTTAGGGTTTAATTAGGGTTTAGGGTTTAGGGTTTACGGTTTAGGGCTCAGGGTTTAGGGCTTAGGGCTTAGGGCTTAGGTTTAGGGTTTAGGGTTTAGGCCTGTAGGGTTTGGGAATCATACTTGGTTGCTGGCCGGAAATTCTATAAAACCTGTTGAGGGTTGACCTACAGGGACACCTCGGGTTGAGAATTAAAGGGCTTTCGGGCTTGGACTGTGCTGGTAAACCCCTGGAAAGTCCTAAACCCGAAACCCTAAACCCTGTAATTTAAACAACCCTAAACTCTAAACCCTACACGGGGTAGTGGTTCCATACGCGGCTCGCCTTCCGTGACTCAATCCGGTGCTCCATGGCTCAAGTTCGGAAAGTTAGGAAGCCTGCAGAAGGCCCCCTGGAGGCCCTATTCAAAACTTTAATCGAGCTGCTGTAAACCAGAAGATCATGGTAGTACAATGGCCAAAAAACGAAAAATCAAAATTCTTCATTTCTTTAATCAGTATGAAAATGACGATAAATATAATGTAAATCTTAGCAGGCCCATCCGTTTCTTCACTACCAGTTCAGGCCCCAAGATGAGGTAAAGACCATTCACCTACATGGATAAGCTCCGCAAATCTGGACATCATTCAGCCTCCTAAACCCTAAATCGTGAACCCTAAACCTCCAGTGCACCCCCAGACCTCAAAGAGCCCGAGAGAGCCCCCTCAAGTTCGTTAAGGGCATTCCCCCAGGGTAGTGGGATTTAAGGTTTCAGGGTTTAGGGTTCCCCCCCTATACCAACAAGCCTTAATCGGGAATATAAAAGATGGAACAAAAGCCCCTTGTAAGGACTGTTAGTGTAAGGGGGCAACATCCCAAGAGTTTCATGGTTTAGGGTTCCTACATCCCTAAACTTTAACAAAAAATCGCAAGCTTGAAACTGTCCGACGCTTTGTTCATGGGCGTGGCAAGAGCGAGAGAAGCGTTTTGTAGTAAAAACATGGAAAGCAAATGCCACCATGGAATTTTGCCCATGTAAAAGGTCGGCACTTTTACAGGAGAACAGGCTTAAACCCTGGCACTTTGGCGTTCGTGCTTTTCCCAAAACGAATATGAAGAGTATCAACACGAGCGATTCAAGAGTGGCACAAGTATGAAAAAAAACCCAGACTCAACACATTGCTTGAGCGTTTGGAACCCCGGAAGGTCGGCATCAAGAGCATGGCTTGTGTTCTCGGAAAAGGCCACGGTGCGGGCAAGGTTTGCGGCGTCGAGGTCCCCGTCACAGGGACACCCCAAACCCAACCCTAAACCCTGAATCCTAAACCCTAAACCCCAAACCCTAAAACCTAAACCCCAACCCCAAACCCCAAACCCTAAACCCTGAACCCCAAACCCTAAACCCCGTGAGCCCCAATTCAGCCACGCGGTCCCCGGCGGCCCCCAGATGACCAGCGGCAGGCGACTCACCGAGGTGAGGGCCCCGGCGAGGGCGCGGCGTTGCGTCGAGTTCCTGGGCGTCTTTGGGGCTTTCGGGGTTTAGGGTCTAGGGTCTAGGGTTTAGGGTTTAGGGTTTGCTGTGCTAGGGCGTAGATGTTGTGAAGGTTAGGTTTCGGAACAAGTTCGAAAGCTTCGTGAGGTGCGAAGAGCAGCTTTGGCCTGATTTTGGAGGGCCATCTAACACTTTTCTCCCACCCCACGCCGTCCAAGGCGGCAAAGCCACCCAAACCTTTTCCTTTTAGGGTTTAGGCTTAAACTCAGACAACAGCCCGCTTTTAAAAAAAATATTCAGTTCTCAAAACTAGGGACCAGTACTGGTCGCGAGGAGAACGTGTTCCGGTACCGGGCCCATCGTGGGCGCTACCGACCCCCATGCTGTGGGAGGCGGGCGAGCGACCTGCTTAGGGCTTAGGGTTTAGGGTTTAGGGTTTAGGGTTTAGGGTTTAGGGTTTAGGGTTTAGGGTTTAGGGTTTCGGTTCGTAGGGTGTATGGTGTTTAAGTTTCTATAGGGCTTGCTACAGGGCTCAGAGGACGTGTAAGGCTTGTACGGCTGAGAGTTTGCAGGCAGTTGGGGGTTGGGGTTAGGTCTTCGGGATAGAGGGCGTTTAGGGGTTGCGCGGGGTTTGGGGGCTGCGGGGCCCTAAACTCAAAACGTGACGCATCTCACTTTGGGATGCAGAGCAAGTTGGGCACCCCTCAACCTCAACCAAACCCCGAATTTAGGAGCCCTAAACCCTCAACCCGAAATCGCCCTCAACACCCTAACGCCTAAACCCTCAACCCGCAAACCCAAAACCCAAAACCCTAAACCCTAAACCTCCACGCCCGGAACTTGAAAGGCAGGACTCAATGCTGAGGGAAGCGAACGCTCCGCCGCACTGGTGTGCCTTTCTGCATCCCCACCAGCTCTGATCTTACAGCGCAGGGATTTAGGGTTGGGTCTAGGGTGTAGGGTTCAGGGTCTAGGGTGTAAGGTTTAGGGTTCAGGGTGTAAGGTTTAGGGCTTAGGGCTTAGGGCTTAGGGTTTAGGATCTAAGATGTGGAGAGGTTAGGCGCTTTTTTTCGAGGTTTTGCTGTGAGGAGGACCTCTCTTGTAGGTGTCTCTTTACTGATGGCCGGCTCCTCACAAAAAAACAACCTTTCAGGGCTTTCAACTCTGCGAGCGGGGGATCGAACAAGAACTCGCCACCTGTTATCAACGAGAATTGAACCCCTAAATCCCTAAACCCCAAACCCCAAACCCCAAACCCTAAACCCTAAACCCTAAACCCTAAACCCAAACCCTGAACCTTAACAAACCCTAAACCCTGAAACAGCAGAGGGGTTGCTGGGCGTCTGCTGCGGTGTCCCCCTGGTCCTCGTCGGGCGCCTCGCCGAGCACCTTCTGGCTGGCCCAGGTTCGGACTTCTAAAGGTTTAGGGTTTAGGGTTTAGGGTTTAGGGTTTAGGGTTTAGGGTTTAGGGTTTAGGGTTTAGGGTTTAGGGTTTAGGGTTTAGGGTTTGGGGTTTAGGGCTTGGGGTTTAGGGTTTAGGGTTTAGGGTTTAGGGTTTAGGGTTTAGGGTTTGGGGTTTAGGGCTTGGGGTTTAGGGTTTAGGGTTTAGGGTTTAGGGTTTAGGGTTTCGGGACCAGCACCAATGGAAATTGTTGGAT